TCCACTGCATGTACGCCGTATGCGATCTCAGGTAGCTCATTTTCTTCGTCAGATCTTGATAAGAAGTCTGCCAACCAGTTTTCTTTCCCTGCCACATGGCCGATGGTGAAGTCATATTCTTGCAGTCGTAACACCCAACGTGATAATTTTCCTCTGGGGTCTCTCGCTGTCTTAAGCCACTGTAGAGGTTTATGATCCGTTTCAATATGGAATCGTTGACCGAGGAGGTACGATCTCCACTTCTCCAGCGCCCAAACTATCGCTAGACATTCCTTTTCCATTGTAGAATATTTCTGTTCTGCGGGTGTTAGAACGCGGCTGGCATACTCCACTACTCCTTCAGTCTGTCTCAGGACTGCCCCTATTCCATAATCACTTGCATCGGTGGACACGATAAATGGCCTACCAGGTATTGGTAGTTTTAACGTCATCTCCTGGTCATTTAGGAGTTCTTTGATGTGATCAAATGTTTTTTGTGCCTCCTCCGTCCACACAAATTTGGGGTTGCCCAGTAGCTTATATAACGGTGCTGCTATCTCATTGAAATTTTTGAGGAACCGACTGTAGAATGCTGCTCTACCCAAGAATTGTCGCAGTTTCCTCTTGGAATTCGGCACTGGAATAGTTCTGACTGTCAGAATTTTCTCGGGTAGTGGTTTTATTTCGCCGTTTCCAACTTTGTGTCCCAGCAACGTAACACTCCTCTTGGCTACTTGAGATTTTGTCTTATTGATGCGGAGTCCAAACTCATCGATACGTCTCAAAACAGCTTCAAGGTATTCTATGTGTTCTGCCTCCGTCTGGCTGTACACCACCAGGTCATCGCCGTACACCTCTACGTTCTCTAAATTCTTCAGCAACAACATCATCAATCGTCTAAATGTAAAGGGCGCCCCTGCCAGACCAAATGGCATTCGCTTGAATTGGTATTGCTTCTTGCCCACAATAAATGCTGTTTTCTCTTTATCACTGTCTTTTATTGGTAGCTGCCAGTAGCCCGAGCGGAGGTCCAGAACTGTAAATACTTTCGCATTCTGCAAACGATCCAGTGTCTCCGCTATCGTCGGCATGGCACATGGCTTCAGCTGCGTTATGCTATTTAACTCCCGGAAGTCCACGCAGAATCTATATTTCCCATTTGACTTTCTTACTAAAAGTACTGGAGAACTGTATGGACTGTCAGCCTCTTCAATAATACCTTCATCTAGCATTTCCTGAACCTGGCGCCCAACTTCTTGTTCCAAGTGACATGGTATTCGCCGTGTGATGAATGTTGTCGTTACCTGACTGGTCACTGGGATTTCATGCTGAACCTTGTCACAATAACCATAGGGGTCTCCATCTCCTGTGAACAATCTGTCGTATTTCTTAACCACCTTCATGATGTTTGGCGTTTCTGGGTACGGTGCTTTTGGTACTTCAATCTCTGCTACCTCGCTGTTTTCCTGAGTGTTGAACGACCCGTACTTCGTTGCCACTATTCCTGTTCTCGTGTTAATCACTGCACCCACTTCTCTCAGAAAATCGGCACCTAGGATTGGGCGTTGTAGGCGCGCGGTCACAATAAATGGGAATCTAATTTTCTGGCTCCCGATCTCAACAACGCAATCTGACAAGCCCGCAATATCCAGTGCATGTCCCCAACCGTATGGACCGTTAGCGCACATGGTCTTGTGTTGTGAGACTGCCTCTTATCTATTAGAGAGACTGCCGCCCCTGTATCTATGAGACACACGATATCCCGACCATTTATTCGCAATCTAGCATACACCGCGCCTCGATCTATGGCTCCTACGATATCTAGTCTAGTCGGAAAAACAGAACTCATATTATATCGTTCAAAACGTTTTCTTTTCCGCCTCTCCGGACAATTCCTTCGCCAGTGTCCCGGTTTCCCGCATGCGAAGCATTTACTCTGTTTGTTGACGCTCATTCGCAGTGCTGCTATCTCTTTCTGAAGGTTGTTGATTTGTTCTTGCCAGTTATTTACCTCTGGTGACTCCACTGCCGCTACTCCTGTACCCATTAGCTGTCTGGTCACCTTGGCCATTTCGCTAATGTCCATGGGCTGGGCTGCATTGACTAGTCGTAACTGGTGGGCAATGGCATTCGGGACACTCTCAGTGAACTGTGCGGTCAGCAACTGTTGTTGGGCATCCTCATCCAACGTGGGAAGCGCTCGTCGAAGTAGTTTGGTCAACTTCACAGCCAACACCAGCGGATCTTCATCTATTCCCAGCTTCGCGCTGCGGAACTGCTGCATCGCCTGCTCCCTGTCCGCCGAGCTGTCGAACTCCGCCTCCAGGCGCTGAACCATTCTCCGCCAAGTCTCCTTCCCGTCACCACGTTCCACTCCGTCATATGCTGCTTTCGCTCTGCCCCGCAGCAACTTTCCCAGCACCACGGCCTTCGCCTCCGGATCCCGAACCCCCACCAGCTCCGCTACCGCCTCGAAGTCCTTGAGGAAGACCTTAATGTCTCCATCCTCGAACTCTGCAGGCCATCGGATTTTCATCACATCCAAAGGCAGTGACACCAATTGAAGAAACAGAAGACAACTCGATGAGAGAATGTATATTAGGAAGAATTGGAATGGTAGTGGTTACATATGGTACTCCTTGCACTAACGCAGCCATTTGCAAATGTCTTCGTTTCCTCTCTGTTCCTGTCTTGATTTGCTCTTGACCGGCTCTTCATACACTCTTATCAGCAGCATCCCCTGTAATACGCCTGTGTTGTCCCCTGCGTTGCTCTTGGCAGAAACCTTACCCATTGCCGGTAATTCCCTATGATTCCTGCCACCCTCTCCATATATACTATTTATATCCGTTGTTATCAGCAACGCCCACTACAATACTATTGTTGTTAGTTTGAAGAGTGACAAACTTCAAAACGTCCAATACTTTTCGCCTTCCTTCTCTGATATTATATTCAAAACGGTTCTAAACGCACCAAGAAAATAGATAAATATTAATACTAGGTGGTGAAAGAGATGAAATTAAAATTTGGACCGCGATCGGATTCGACCAGCGATTATTAAGTTTCCGGCTCAATGCTCTACCAACTGAACTATGAGGTCTGACTGCTGACCAGATATGCATCTCACTTCAATCACCAAGAATTTCGCCTGACTACCGCGTTACTATCGCTTAATCGTATTCACACTGGCTGCCTATTAGGACTTCTCATCCTAATCCAAATCTAACTGAATTAGATAGAATGAGAGGGACAGTATCATATTGATTATTATTTTAGACTATCTGAGATAACCATAGTTTTGCAAACTAGTACTGACACTCCATGATGATTGAAGGTGTACCAATAAGTTCCGAACTAGTGGCTCGATGTTAACGTATTGGTCACGGAACCAGAAGGTCGCAAGTTCGATCCCTGGCGGGGTCGTGGATGCGCACTACTGAGGAGTCTCATACTAGGACTGGACAGTTGTTCAGGTTTCCTTTGTTCCTCCAACTGGTGTCAGTCTACGATGAATAACGACTTGAAATTCCTGAAGTATCTTTGAGCTGTATGAAACCTTTCAACTAAAGATCTAGCATCAAATCAAACTTGTTCAAAATTCACTAGTTTATTGACTCAATGTGACACTTCTCATATCATTTTATGAATATTGATGGTATTCTAGTGTCACTTCACCAATTATTAGTATCTTCTTAAATAGATCTTGATTTGATAATAAAGTTGAATTTAAAAAAAAATACCTAAAAATAGTAGTAACCAGCTTATAGTTTACATATTTGCAACACATAAGAATTAAGTGTAATCTGAAGTCAGTCTCCGTATTCACTGAAGGTAACCCGAGATGTGAATTGATTAAAACGAAGCGATAACAAAATCTAAACGTTATACTCCTTGATTGAAAGTAAGGACGTCATTCTAAATTTTCATCAATTTACTTATGTGTAGTGCAAATTACAAACATTCATAACTGGCATATTCAATTCAGGCGTTCACTGCAAATCAAACACTAAACGGAGTCTTTCAACACTATTACATTTCTATATCATCACTTTCCACACACATATATTTTTAGAAATAAATTTTGACTACTTACTAGTAGTAAAGCTTAATGATCAGAATTTTCAGAAATACTATTTTTATGACATCTTCAAACAAACCTTGTATTATCTACCTCAAAAAGGTATTCACGTAATCCAAAATTGCCACACAAATAAATATCAATGACTTCTCATAGTCTTATTCTATAGAACTATTTTATAGGATTAGGATTGTAGTTCATCCAGTAAATACCATTCCACTATTCTGCCTAATTCACAAGTAGTTGTGAAGACTAAAAGTAAAATATAATCTAGACGATGATGGAAGTCATAGTAAAGATGGATAGTGGCTAGCAGTGGAATCCAGGATGCGCATTTAGGACTCAGTAGTCAGCTGGATGTACCTGCCTCTCAGTGAGTGATGTTATTCCCACCTGGATTCCACTGTTAGCCACTATCCATCTTTACTATAACTAGAACACAAGTGTATCGAGGCATCCGAACAGGAATCCATATGCCAATAGAAGTCAATTAATTCGGTCCAATCAACGACGGTATAATACAAGCTATAACACTAAGATGATAGAAGTCTCTTGGAAAAAAATACTTCCCAAATATTCTTAAATCGCTATTCAAGAGGTATAGATGATTCTGCCTCCTTTTAGAATCTTAACCTGGAAAGGCAGTATCTTCTGGATTCTTCAAGTCTACTTAGGAGTCCCCTATGATAAGGTAAATCCTGGTAAAGTCAGACGAAGAAAGGGAGAGCTCCATAAGTTAGTCTATGATAAAACTAAATAAGAATGGAGAGAGTAGATACCCCCAAGTGACACCACTCGACATACACAACTCACCTGGTACAAAACGTCACAATGTTGACGGCTCTCACACTTACCCCATTTTCATCATGTATTCACGTATTCATGTATTCACATACTAGAGATTGATCTCTCTTAATGGACAATTTTACTAACAAAGCAGATTATGGTCATGATTAATTTATAATGGAAAAATTGGTGAACTGCACAAAGTTTAATTGGTCATATAAATCAGTTCATTGTATCGGCGCACGTATCCATTGTAAAGTTGTGTGGTGATTCAAGCTTTTTATTCAATTCACCCATCTACAATGAGGGGAAAAAAATTTTATAAGTGATTTTACAACCATTAGGTTGATGTTTAAAACGACTTACGGTATCCAGTGTGAGTGATGTAATAACATACTACGAACAACTGTTGAATAGTGATAAGACAAAAAGTACTTACCACCATAGTAGAAATTACCAGACTGTGACGGAGTCAGGCAGTGAAATAGTACTGCTAAGTGAACAGGGTGTGACAGGCTTAAGGCATTTCCCGAGGAGGACCAACAGTTCGCGTTGATGTACCCCTCCCTGGTTGAAGTTTTAGAGAAAGTTCCCCGCAAAAATAACATGCTACCTCTTACCTTGCAGTATTTCAATGCCAGTGGTATGGATGTTCATTGTCTAGCATTGGGCTTAGTCAAATGTCAATCCGCAACTCTTATAACGGCTCTACAGTAGCGTACCACTATGAATAACAAAATACTTCACGAAGAAATAACCCTCAACGTGTGGGAAGTGAGCAGTGTTAACCGTTCTCCTATCTCCACCACGAATACTTTCAGATTATTATCGTAATCTTTCGTTACTTCTCTCATTTAATATTTCCACGTCATCCACAGTTCCTACTAGCTTTGTATCCCTTGATAACTATTCCGAGTCCTAGGAAACAGTGCTTCTAACTACATACGGAAGCTATAAATGCCATCTCAGTTGATGAAGGTTCAAAACCTCATCAACTGATTTTCCTCTTCTCCCTAAAACTCTACACCTGACTTCTGCATTAATGACCCAGTAACACCGCGACACAAGACCTAGGCTATGAAGGTAATGATGATCAGACACCTGGACCCACCACATTTGCTCAACCTTTAATGGTCACATTCATACAGCAGAAAATAGCGAACTGCGGTGCTGTACACTAGACTGTTAATAGGCAATTGGATATGTGTAAGTTTGTAAAAGTCAGTCAAACTTGTATTCGTGATGAGATTGCATAGGCCACTAAACAACAAATGTTGATCCGACTTCTTGGGTAAGTGGAGTGATCAACGTGCTCAACTACTTCATTCTCTATTGTTAAATAAGGCAACATCCAAGACCAGTCGTAGAGCAACAATTTGTACTTCGGTGGTGAGAAAAGTATCCCAAAACATTCTTAAATCTCAACCAAGGTGTCCAGAAGATTGTATCTTGTCAGCGTCTTTACCTAATAGGAATAAGTCATCTGCGTATCCTATATCTACCAAGGGTTCTTTTGTGATTAGATCGATCCCTGTGATATCAGGTGACGAGAGGTAGACCTCCATAAGAGGGTCTATCACAAAACTGAACAGGAATGGAGGGAGTGGACATCCTTGACGGACACCGTACGATGTACACAATTCACCACAGGCACCCACACGACTACGGTGTTCCAGTACAAAGATTTTAAGTGAGGTACACTGTGATAAGTCCTCTCGATCGACGGAGTTGAATGCCGCCTTTTGGTCGAGAAATACAGCCAGTGTCGGATGCCGGTAAGTGTGCTCGTGTTCTAGAATCTGGTGGAGTGTGAATATCTGGTCGATACATCCACCGTTGGGTTTAAAAACTGCTTGGTTTACTCGGGCTAGCTGTTCCCGAGTTCCCCTTAGGTGCATAATGATTATAGAATCTAGAATCTTAGACGATATGTTTATCATGATGATTCTCTTGTAGTTATCGCAGGAAGACTCGCCTTTCTTGAAGACTGAGATGATCAGTGATTGAGAGCAGTCATACGGGATCACATCTGTCTCTCACACACGAGTTAACACCGTTCTTAAATACCTCCGGGACTAATCTATCTGGCCTTCCTCCTCGTCTAGGGTTACCTACAGCTTCCTCGACTTCCGTAAGTGTCAGGGGTCCTACCAAGATGTTCCGATCAGGATCCGACTGCACAGCATAGCAAGCAAAGAAATACTATTTGGAGATCAGTCGAAGTGGTCCGTCTGTCGTTCCACTCATCTCCCCTTAAAATGAGTCGCAGATGCATCCTTCTTCTCCATCGTTTCACTAATCATTGACCTGATTGCTCGTTTCCTCAATAAGCCCAAACAGCTGTCTGCTGCTACCTACTGCAGCTGTCTTTCGCGTCTCTTTAGTCTTCATTGATCACTACTTTTCACGATCACTGCGTAGACTTTTTGTCAGTCTAAGTAGAAGCTGCATTCGCTCCTCATCGAACTCAGAGCCTGCAGGGATAACTTCAAGTGTATTCAATAGTTCAATAGCTGCTGAGATTCACTCGCTTTTGTTAACCACTCTCTGGGAGTAGACCACGATCTCCAAAGCTGTTTTTACAGAAAACTGAAGATCGAAAGAAGCTTCTTCTGGATGAGTGATGTTGTTCTGTTCCAATAACTGCCTGCCCAGTTTTTCACTGAAAGGTGTTTTAGTGTTCTGATTGTCAAGTTGTTCTAGCAATGGTCTAGCTGATACAGTTTTCCTACATCCATTTGGATGCAGATACATACACACTAGAACTAACGCGAGGTCGGTGTACAAACACGTATTCCAGGAGGAGCGGCAATCCTCTATCGATAGCTGATACCAATATGGTCTGTCTGTGTCCATCACTAAGTTGAGGTCGATGGACGCCTGCTATGTCAGACAATGTCTCTCTTCATATCTGAAGTTTGTGATGGCTAGAAATAAGTGGTTACCCGCGCACAGTTTTAGTAGGTGACTGTTCCTATCTGTTAGTTCAGCTAGGATACCAAAAAAGTCACGTAAATGCCTTCCTGCCAAACATAGCCTGCCAACCTGTCCATTGGAATCATCTCCAACGACTACAACATTTGGACACTTGCCTTTAAGAAGGGAGGTTCGACGGTTTTCAGTAGAACTCATCCTACACTTCTTCCGGACTGCAGTCAGGGGGTGTTTAAGCAGAAATTATAACGAGGCAACGGCGAGTTGCACCATACCTTTTAATTTATCTCTGTGCCGTTCAGTTGAACAGCACACAGGCGACTGTTAACTGGGACCCAGTCAAGCAGAGAACTTTTTACTTTAGTGGTCAATGCTATATATACACCTCCAAGACCGTGAGAACTAGTCATGGAATCTTCAAAAACTCGAAGGGAAAATATTGGCCAGGTGAGGTTAAGTGGATAACCGAACTTCGATCGTGTATGCCTGTTTCACAAACACAATACACATTCATGGTCCGAGTTGCAAGAGTTTTGGCTAGTGAGTTTTGTTGACCAATTTGACAGAGGCTGTGGGCATTAAAAGTTCGTGTGTAATTTGGAGTGCTGTTTCAGAAGACCAAGATGCTGGTTCCGCAAACTCAGATCGTTATTAAGAGTTGCACAACCGGAAGAAATCAAAGTTGACCGAGAGAAGTAAAGAAGGATTGGAAGTTAGGGATGTGGAAGGTGAACGGTTATCTGAGGGCAATGGATTATTGACAGGGCTGTGAAGCAGAATGACACTTCCAGGTCGCCCACACCGTGAAAGACTAGTTCTCCTTGAAGTGCTTCAAAAAGAAGGGTTAGTGCGTAACTGCAGGACCCACGGTACACTTGTTTGAGGCCGGGTACAGGCGACCTTTTGGTAAGTACGGGATTTAGGTTTGTTGTATTCGTATCCGACAATGAACCCGTGTCACAGTATCAACATGATACCGCTGCCCAACTAAGAGAGACCGTTTACTGTTGTCATATCCCACCCACTCCAGTTAACAATACGACTTCACTCTCAGACCCCCATCACAGAGCAGCGATTTATATTATAATGGTAACTACTTTTTGTCCAATCACTATCCAACAGAACTTTATGGTATGGTAGGACCTCGAAGGAAAGAACGTTCTACTAGCATAGGTCGTCGGGTTATTGTGATATACAAGCCGAACTATTACATAAAGGTAGCAGCTATCCATCGGGGAACATAAAAGCTATTGAGTTTCTATTCCTTATGGAGCAGATGTCTGAACTCTCAGGTACATATAGAATTCAAAGCACGTGGTAGATGAGTGCATCTGATTCACTCATACACCATCTAGCACATTTACTTCCTTATGCAGGCTTATACTATTACCCCGTACTCAACTCTCCCTTATCCTTGTTAAACGAAAATCTATGCAGAAAGTCAAAGTTCTTCTAATTATTGTCTCCGTAACACATTATATCTCTTAAGATAGTGATGATTGTAAAAAAATTACAGTCTCTACAAATCCTGTTTTCAGTAATAAAGTTTTGTATACAAAAAAACAAAAAACTTACGTAAATAAAAACATGAAAATACTAAGGTAGAACTCACTAATTATCTTCGGAAGCTGGAAGATTTGTTTTATGTTGTTTCAATGCAGAACGATGAAAAATAATCCTGATTTCAATAAAAACATAAAGAACAAGTACATACTCAGCTAAAAATCTGAGTATATGATCAATAGAATGAAAATATCTCGAAAATTTATTAGAAATTATTTTATACGATGAAAAAATACCTACAATCGATTAACATTAACTCAACAACTTCGCATTCTCAGTTTATATATGCTCTACTACCAACCTCAAAATACTTTGTTTATATCACCTGACCCGTAAGTCCTTCATCAAAGACTATGGTAGCAACTCTTAACAATTCTTCCATATTTGTCCATACAAACTACCTTTAATTAACAACTCAAATATTCGCTTACATATTATAGAGGCTAATGAACTGCACAGGATATCAATGAACTGTAATTCTTTGCAAGTTTCTAAATTCCTGCAAGCTTTAGTTATTGTATAAAATAAGTGTAACTCAGCAACCACACCCAAGCTCTTGAACTAATTCAGTGAATTTCACCTATTGTGTAAAAAAAGTGATAACACCATTTGGCTGCGCAAGCCTCCGTTGGTGGAACAAGATTTGAACCTATAACTTAGTTGAAGGCTGATGATAATAGCCTGAGGGCGAGTGACACTCTTAGACTGCCAACACCAGGGAAGGCTAGTTCCCCTTGAGGTACCTGAAAAGGGATTATTACATGACCGCAGAGTCCAAAAGACACCTGTTTGAGGACGGTTGCTCACAAGTTATTTAAACATTTGAAAATTTAACTCGTTTTTTTTCGAATCTATATGTGAATTCATGCAGCTAGCACAACCATACTATAGGGTAGGTGGGAGTGTGGTATTTTTAAGGCCAACCTGTTCTAACTCCCACTCCCCTCCTTACTGATACATGTTACCCTAACGTGGTGATCTGGCTTGCCTATCACAATGACCCAAAGAGCTACACTGGTCCACTGGATGGCGGATTGACAAAAAGCACGGACCTTTATAGTGTAAATTACTACCCTATGATAAGGCTCCCGAGGGTGAGAGTGTAACAGCTGTAAATTGTTTCCCTCAGAGAACCAGCAGTACCATAACTCTTTTGGTTGGAAGTTAATTGTCCAAGCCAATGATCGATAGTTTCTATGTGCCAAAGCTCCTGGTTATATAACATACTTCACCAGATTATTGTAAAATAAGGACATGTAACATGATAACACAGCATAACTGCCTAGTGGTATTTCACTTATTCCAACGAATACTATACAAACCTATTACATTAGTCTCAAAAATATCACTATCACTATAGTTTCAACATGTAAAGTATTGTAGATTAGCACCAGAAAGCAGAAAATATCAAGATGATCAGGTGATGAATGAAAACTCATCCATGAACCTATTGATAGATGATTTCCGTAGTACAAGAAACCGTAGGTTTTCTGGCTGAGATCTCAATGAGTAAGGATGTTAGGTGATCCATCTCAAAACTGTGCAAATGTATTCACTCTTTCCCTGATAACTAAACAACATATTATTTTAAACTTATGCTTTTAAGCTTTCTGTTGGGGCTTCTAAGTTTGAAGTGAAACACTGTTAGCTATGGTTCTATGTTCTTTCATTTACGCAGCCTCAATACATACCTAAGATAAACACATGAACAGTTGGATGACTGCTGAAATCTATAGTGTATTATGCAACTATTTTATCATACCTTAGTACTCTTCAATTATATGACATCAGTGAAGCTCTTCGGCGATGAAAACCAAAAATTCTCATACTAGACAGTTAACATGATGCTAGTAATAAAAATTTATTTTCAGCACTATACAAAAACTAAATATTCTCCCGAACAGTGTTTAGATCAGTCTGATTTGGTTGACTGGTGAAAATATCACAGATCAGGGTGAGTAGTGGTTCCTAACTACTTAAGTTGTTCATTAGTAGTATATTCTCAGGTAGCATATAGATTAATTTTGTCACCAGTGACAAGTATGTAAATGAATTAGGCATTGTCTATCAAGTGAAATTCATCCCTTTTACTCAAGATGTTCAATTAAAAATAAGTAGAAGATTTTAAAAATCTTTAGTCAAACACCAACTTTATGATGACTTCCCAGAAAACCTGGGAAAGTATACATAACTTATAGAATGCAGCTCTATTCTCTTGAGTTTCGATTCTATTATACCCCAAAGAAGATAGTTAGCAGAATGGATACTGAAACGCATTTTGAGAATTTCTTCAAACTTTTCGATATCACTAATCAGTAGCATAGGTTACCTCCAAAACAAACTCCTCATCGAAGGAAATTGTCCGGTTTTGAAGGAATTGTAAAGCGACAACTTGACAAAGACTTCAGTATGATTGTAATGAGTAGGGTAGAATATGGATGATCATAATAAGGATATGATAGAGAAGATTGGAAAGCGAATCATCAAATAGTTCATATAACTACTCAGAAGACAGCTGATTGATGAAACATGCAATGAACTCAAATCAAGACGATCTCACATACCATTCATGTATGGTTAACCAAAAATAAATAAGACGGATATATCGATGAGATTTATTCTCCACATAATAAGCTTTCCTGTTGGTTAGCAAAGAAGTTGGAAAAGATTCGCAAGAAATCATCAATATGTACTTCAAAAGACTCTTTGGATTTCAGATAAAGAATAAGACATCTTAATTTTTCATACAAATTCATGGCTTCATTTGATATAACTTCTCTGTTCACGAGTATACCTTTTCTTGAGACAATAGACATCATTTATTATTATTTATCCCTTGGGTTCCTAGTGGAACATACGGCTTCAGTAGCATGTCGTCATTCCACTCTTTTCACCGCTGCCTTTTCAACGTGACCCCACGACTGCCCATAACCTTTCATTTCTTCTTCACACCATCATCATGTTACCCTCAACTCGGACGCCCAACTCGTCGTTTCCCCTTTGGATCTCACCAGAAGGCTTGACCTGGCGGGTGATGTCCCCAAATGGTCTTCTCAGTCCATGTCCAGTCCAATCCATCTTCATTTCCTTCTACATATTTGTTGGGCGATAGATTCTTGGTTGGTTCGCTGCCACGCCACAGTTACTCTTCGCTTATTCTTATTATTCTCGCCATCTGATCTCCATCCTCAGTATCAAGTAAGCGTAGGCAACAACTGTTCATGTATGTCTGTAGTTTGTTGGAAACACTTTTCATAATGCGCCAAGTCTCTCAACCATCACACAGAAGCACTGACTTACTTGACTAAATTAGTATTGAAAATCCGGATGTTGTTCACGCTTTGTGCTGAGTGTAGTGCAGTGCATTAGATCTCCACACTGATTTCAGATTAATGAAGGCCTGTCTTGAAGTCTTTCCGATCCTGGCATTGATATCCTCATCTATGTCACCTGTAGATGCCTGTAGCTGAAAGGATGCTGCCGTGTCTAGGTAGTGAAAGAGACAACTTCCTTTAGATTTCTTCTGTCCATGGTGATTGGTATTTGTTGTCGTTGTTGGTTATCTTCATCACCTCTGTCTTCTCTATGTTCACTTAAAGTCCCGTCTTCGCTGTCCTGCTCACCTCTTCTGCTAACTTGTTAGTTTTCACCTCTAGATCTTAGAGTTTGTACAACATTAGATATAAATCATCATCAGCGAAATGCAAATCTTCTTCTAGGGTCTTTGCATCGGTTCAGCCAGCGTATGCCCATCTTCTCACAGTTTGTTTCATGATCGAGTCCAGCCCAGTTGACCAGAATCAGGAAGATCATTCGTGATGATAGTAGGCGGCAACCTTATCTTACTTTTGTCCCATATCCTCACTTCAAAAACATCACTGAGCTTTCCATTGTGAATCACTTGGCATGTAGCATCATCATCATATAGCCGTTAAATGAGGTTAATAAAGGTTTGTAGCACTTATCAAAAATAGAAATGAAGCGTCTCCTGCTTTTGTGCACTAAAGAGGCTCGATTCCAACTCAACGATATCATATATAAGCAGGTTGATAGTGTAGTTATGGGAAGTTCACAAGGACTAGTAATGAGGGACATCTTCATTTCACACAACTACAAAGCATCACCCTAAAACCTGAAACCAATGAAATCGTTTTTTATTTAAGGTATGTTGACAATACCTTAATTATATGTGAAAATGTTCAACAAGCAAAAAAGCTGTGCCAACAACATTTCGGTAATACACATTATAGTATTACGTTGACGCTGGAATATGAAGGGAACCAGTAGCTGAGCTCTAACCTGTTCAGCAGTTGCTGCATCCACTGAGCTTAATGGTACTACTATACTAGGTATGCATCTTCAGATTTTAGATGACCTATTGTCATGTTGAAGTTTAGTCCTTTTTTGAGTATTTTTGTCTCAGCTGACCTTAAGATTCTCGAGATATTGACTACCCACTTTGGTCTATCGATGTTTAATAATGTTTCATTTGTAATTTGATTATTTTCCAAGGGATCTTTTTTATTATCGCCTGGCTTAAGGATCCGATAGAACCAATTAAGCAAAATAATCTATCAAATTGTATGTAATGACTGTGATTGGGGTCAAGTATATAGGCCAAACTAGCCGGTTGGTGTCAGCTGGAATAGTTGAACATAGGAATTTAGGCAAATATAGAATGACAGACCCAAATTAGATAAATACTCCAGAGAGAAAAACTCGGCTATTGTAATGCATGCATAATGACACACAATCACACAATACGGTGGGGTGGGACAAGCCACTGTACTTAAGCCCTATATAATTAGGTGGATAGAGAGATCGACTACTGAATATTTATTCATCGAATCAACATGCGACACACTTAATAGAAATGATTTAACACATACCAGAGATATAAACAATACTTTACTACCAATAAAATCAAAGCATATCAGGTGACAGGACTATAAAAATCAGATATCGAAAGTGCTGTGTGATTACATTTATACGATTATGAGCGCTAATAATTTATGCTCGAAACGTCATCAAAAAAATAATATTCTTGAGAGGAATGGGGATTTTTAATTTAAAGGAAGTATTCATCATGGATTGACATCAGTTGGGGAACCATTGAAAATCTGAGAGCACTGGACAGCTGTTTCGTCCTAGTATGGGACTCCTCAGCAGTACGCACCCACGACCCGGCTACCGATTGAACTCAGAATATCCAAGGTTTCACAGAGAACGTGCTAACCATTCAGTCACTGGGTTGATTTTCAGGGGTTCACAGTTTCCAACTTCTGGTTGACGCATTCAACGTGAAACCTGAAGGTCCTGAGTTCGATTCTTAGCCGAGTCGTGGGTGCGTACTGCTGAGGCGTCCCATACTAGAACAAAACAGCTGTCCAGTGCCCTCAGATTTTCAATGGTTCCCCCAACTGATATCAGTCCATGATGAATACTACTTCTAAATAATATTCTATCACTCACTGGGTGTGTTATAAGTCAAATAGAATTAAATTGTACCACAGTTTACAGTATATTGTTGTTTTAAGATCCTAGTAGTGACACATATGAAGACTATTTAACCTCTATACATAAGACAAAGTTTCATCATTTACGAACTATTGCTTCGTATTAAAATGACTTACTTTGCCTAGAAGTTGAAAATTGATAGAAAATGAAAAAATATCCACTGGGAATCACAGTTCGAATCCAAACTATTGGCTATACTCTTCGAGTACATTGATTGTTTAACAAAAGAAACTATTAATACCGAATTTGGTAAAACAATCATCAACTGACCTTTTCAATTGACCACAGTTCTGTTTTGTATGCTCTATTGGTGGTAAACTTGGTCCCTGTTCAGGACCTAAGGAATAGGCCAACTGTTTCAATTCACCGATTGAAATAGGAGTCTGTGATTTTGAAGGTTGTAAAGATGTTTCAGGCTTTGATATACACTTTTTCTGAGAAAATTTTCTAGTTAAAACACGTGGTATAAATGAACTAGGTGAGTACTGCTTTAACTCTTTATCAGTATTTGAAGGTTTTTTGCTAGATGGAGCTTCAGTAGACTGTGATACATTTTCTAAGTATGGTCGACAGCTCAAGGCCTGTAAAACAGGAAGAGGTATCGGTCGCCTAAAATAATTTTTAAAAAAAAATGATAAAAACTGGTGTATGAATACATTACACTCTTGATATATTTAACATTCAGGAAAAGAAGATAGATGGTTTGTTGGTACTGATTGACAAAGTATATCCCCGAAGTCTTGGACCTAGGTACCAATCAGCAAAAGATCTAGACGCATTGAACTAACTTTTAGTCACTATTAGAGATTAAAATCTCTTGTCAATATCAAAAAATAAAATTCTAAACAACGTTTTCTCGTTTTCTTATCAAACCCATTATCCATTTGCATTATTGAGTGTGAACTGTTTGGATAAGTATATCTCAGTACACCAAGATACAAGATATGTGAGCATTACTTAATGATTTGATTATATCAGTCACCAAGATCCTGTTCACCATTGTAGATTATTAGTAGAAATACGGTGATACCTTGCTCCATAAATTAATTTCTTGTAAGATCGACTACAAAATGGATATAAGGCAACTCAATAAACGTAGGAAATAGGGAGCAGAAATATCAAACAAAAGTAATCTGCTTCCATATTAGGTTTCATTATTTGATGAATAACACACAGCGATGCAGTATTACTTACTTGATGACGTTTCAAGCACAAACTACTTATTGCTCATAATCATAACAATATAATCACACTACTTTCGACACTGAACTTTTATAGTTAAGTCATCTCATATTGTTTGTTTTTATTGGTAGTGAAATTTTCCATATCTCTAGTATAGGTGTTGTATCATTTCTATTATATGTGTCGGGTATTGGCTCGATGAACAATGATTCCGTAATCCATCTCTCTCTCCTTTTCCACCTAACTATATTGGACAGTACAGTACAGTGGTTTTATCCCACCCACCCTATTGTGTGGTTGTGTGTTATGCATGCATTGCAACGACCGAGTTGCCTTCTAGATTATTGATCTTATTCGGGTCTGTCATTCTATATTCAGCTAAATTCCTATGTTTAATTGTTCTAACTGATCCCGACCAGCTAGTTTGATCTATGTACTTGACCCCACTCACAGTCATTACATACAATTCGATAGATTAGATGATTTTACTTGGTTGGTTCTATCGGATCCTTAAGCAGCCCGACAAAGTTTATCTCCGAGTGAGTTTGTAGGTCTAGATGCCACCCTAATTTCAACTTTGTTGAGGATCCTACCTGAAGTTTGTGATGTACCTTCCTGATACGGTAACACAATAGGAGCTGTGAACTCCTTTGTACTTATGTTGTCATTACCATTCGTACTCGTGTTATTGTTATTTTTTCGTTTCTTATGTGTTTGTACGGATTTCTTGATTAAGTGTAGAGGATCATTATTAACTTTTAGTGCTTCCTTGTTTAGGTCTTTGCACTGACTAGTCAGTTTTCTACCTCTATCACTTAGACATTGGACTAAGCCTGCGTTAACTGATATTGGATGGCATGACTTGAAGTCTAGACACCTGCTGGAATGTGTCGGTTTTCTCTAGACGGTAGTCTCCAAACCACCTGTTCTTCGTTTTATCCTGCAATCCAACATAGGCAATTTTCTCTATTCATTCTCTACATCATAAGTGAGTTGGATTGAGCCTATTGCTCAGTTTATATGTATGAGGAAATTTTCGAAATGTTCCGATTTGAATACAATGAATGTGTCATCTACATATCGCCACCATATTTTTGGTGCAGGACTAAACGTTTGCAAATTTCTGGGGGTCGCATTCCAATATTAATGTTGCGTAGTATTGTTCCCTCATCAAACGTCTATGTATTTCCCCCTTGTACTATGATAAACATTTAACTGATCTAGGTAACCTTTCTCTTCCGGGAACTATATGTAACAAATGAGAAGATTGAAGGCATAAATGAATTGTTCCCAGTATGTCGTCATATGAAAATTGCTTTTTATCCAGGCAAACTAATTTATATTATCATGAACATTTAGCCTGTTAGGAAAAAAAGGATAACACTGACTGATAAAACAATTATCCTAACTGATTTAAAAGTAAAAGGTGGATTATCATATTTTGCATCGAGTCGGAAACCCATTGTCGCTGGTTCGAATCCGGCCGCGGTCCAAATTTTCATTTTACCTTCAATCATCACCCAGTATAAATACTGCAAGTCTCCCAAACCACAAACAGCTATCTTAGATAGTCAAAATGATGAGTGTGATGCTTTACCTCTCTACTTCAGTCAGATTTGTATTGGAGTGAGAAGTCCTGACTAGGCAGCCCATGTACGATGAAACAGTAGTAACACGTCACGAATTCACATAGTAGTCAGGCAAAACCTTCGGTGATTGAAGTGAGATACAAATCTGGTCAGCAGTGGGATCTTGTAGCTTAGTTGATAGAGCATCGGTCTGGAAACCCGGTGATCGCGGTCGCGGTTCAAATTTTCATTTCACCTTCAATCATCACCCGGTATCAATAATAAGTGGCTATTGCGGTAAATCTTAATCCCATTTCAGATGGTTTGTTAGATGCATTACGTAGTGAAACATTATTTACTAGATAGTGTTGAGGATATAATTTATCCTCCATACTCATACCAAGGTAACTCTACAACTTTAAGACATGGTGTCCATCATCATCATACATCAACATAGGACCAGACGTTACTGCGTAATGGTTCGAGTTGCCACACCTCATACCAGTAAATCAAGTAAAAAGGCAGTAGTAAAGTGGAAGATGAAGAAAAGAAAATCCAGTCGAAAGAAATATAAAGTAATAAAAGAGAAGAAGGAAGAATGAAAAGATGGTGAGATTCGGTAGAGCGTTAAGATGAGGATAATGTGTACATACACCTCCGCTACTGACATCAGTTCCCACCCGTGCCACCTAGAGTCTCCAACCACTGGTTCCTCCTGTCCCCCGGACCCCAACCACCTAGTCTTCATCGTCCCACATGGCTCAAACCAACGGTCAAAGACTTCATACATTGATGCCATGGTGTATTTCGTTTTATTTCTCCTTCTTTGTGTTGTGGGCAGTAGGATCTAACATATACCTGGAAAAGGTACAGAATCATTCCAATAGCGTGTATTTGATGTTGATTCGATAAACAAAGAAGCAGTTATAAATCTCTCCTCCCACCTAAATGGGTTAGTTTTAAGGATAATCACTCTATCCCATCGCATTGTGTAATTACATGCATAGTTGTAGCTGAGCTTTTCCCTAAATTCCTTATCTTACTAAGGATCTACCCATCTCGATTTAGCAAAAGTTTTCTGCTTAAACAGCCTAACTGACCCTGATCGACTATTTTAACCTGAGAACTTGACCTCGCAATCATCGCAGAGGTTTTGGCAAGCTAAATTATGACGCCCAATTGGATCAATAGAATCTGATAGCCTACAAAGCTAGTTTCTAAGTTAGTTTGTAGGTTTAAATGCTCACTCTAATCGTACGTAATTTTTCTGAGATGCTCTCCTTGTCTGGTGATATTATAGATAGCATGAATTCTCTCTTCACAATGTTGCCATTATTATCATTACCATTGTTATTAACGACATATTTGTTACCCCTATCAGTCATATACTTTTCTTACAATCCTTTTGTATTGATTGACTAATTCAGGAGATTAATTTTTGATCAGTAGAGTATGCTTTATGTATCTGATTTCTTACCTCCGATTTTCTGTTTTATGAATAAGCCGTTTTGCCCTGTTACTCAGATATTCAAGAAAACCCACCTTAACTCACATAGGATGAAGTTCGAATGGGGAGGTTTCCCATAGACAACATTGTCTAAACTTCCATCTTGCTTTCATTTCATTCTGAAATCCAATGTAGACAGACTCCCATCATCTTTGCCTAGTTCACAAGTAAACTGAATTGCATTCACTATTGAATTTGTGTTTAACGAACCTATCTGTGTGCTCCAACTTCAATGCTGTAAATGTGTCATCTAAAGTGACTCTTAAGGCCACCCCAGTAACTGTTGAAGTCACCAATCAGACTTTACTATTTTAGCAGGAAAGGTAGTTTTTTTTCTTCATGAAATAAAGAAACTTGGCTGCTAATCTCATTAGTGATCAGAATGGTTTTTAGAGTCACTCATCATCTACATATCTTAACCATATCTTTGGAACGACTCCTTACCACCTTCCCATTTAATATGAGTAACTTTAAACCCCACCCTAACAACTATTGAAGTAAGCAGTTAGAGTGCAGTAATTTATGATAAAAACCACCTTGGCAGTTAAAATAAAGAAACCTGATTAATTATTTCAGTTGTTGTTAAGGTCACCTTTAAAGTTACTCCATAAATATGGTTGTGTCGACAAAGGATATTGGTGATTCTATGCCAATTTCTGTTTGTTTGTGTATTTTATTTTGAAATTTGAAGAGTGTAGCCGTCAAACATAACTGTACTTCTAGCATGATCTCCTCCATTGGTAGTTTGCCTCAGTGTGAAAGCTTATGATCATTTCTAGCTACTTCCACAATCATATGATCGGTGTATGTTTGCAAAGACTAGTTACATTAAAACTAAACATTCCTTCACTTTAATCCAATTGTACATAATCTAATCTATGCTTCAAGTCATAAAAGTTAGAATTAGAACAGTTTCTAATTGGGCTTAGTACTGTAATGGGCGTTGCTAATAAGAATGGATATAAGTAGTATATGTTGAGAGGGTGGCAGGAATCACAGGGACTTATCAGCAATCGGTAATGATTCTGCCAATGACCAACGCAAGGGATAACGCGGGCGTATTACAGTGGATGCTGCTGATAAGAATATATGAAGATCAAATCAAGAGAGAAACAGAAGAGGAAACGAAGTACATTTTGTAAATGACGGCTTTAGTGCAAGGTGTTCCCTATGTAACGACTACCGTTCCAACTGTTGATAATAAACATTCTTTCCGTCGTGTCTGTCTTCTGTCTCTTCAGTACTATCACTAAGTATTTAAACAACTGATATGTTTAAATGTTTCTACAATCTACTATAAAAGTCTGTTGGGATAACCTGGCTTATGAGTCTTAGTAGCACCATAAATACTACTGGGGTTATTAGTTCTCGGCATAAAATTACACCATTTCGGTTCAACTAGAAATAGTTTCATTCGGTGTATAGGGTCACCTATGAATTCCTTAACCTTATTCATCATAATATCCATTGGTTTCTCAATTTCTTTACATACTCCTGTTACTATATGCTTTTTCCTTTTGTGAATGTAATCATTTTTGTTCAATATAACCGTTGAGTTGCCTCTATCTGATTAGATAACGATCATAACCTTGTCCTTCCGAAAGTTCTTTACAGCTTTCATCTCTCATTTTGACCAATCATGTTTCATTTTCTTCTGTTATTTGAATGTTAGTGCAAATTGTATTCACACCTTGTTTACAACCGTACCGAATCTCACCATTTTGTCACTCTTCTTTCCTTTCTTCTCGTACTTTATATTTCTTTTGACTGCATTCACTTATCTTCATCCTTCACCTCACTACCTTTCTACTTGATGAACTGACATGAGGTGTGGCAACTCGGACCGTTACGCAGTAATGCCTGGTCCTATGTTGATAATGATGATGATGATGATGATGACAACCGACTTATCTACTGAACTTAATATTATTTCCACTTTAGGAATGACATCTCCAGGTCGATGCGTTACGGAAAGATCTTAACTTAAATTCAGGAATTAATGAATTGACGCCTGAATATATCACTCATGAAATAGAATTACCATTAAATTCAATAGATAAGACAGTTTCAGATGAGGTAATAACACTCAGACGACAAAAGAAATTCAAACAATTTGTTTGAAACCAATCAAGCTGAAGATATTGTCAGCGACTTCATTAGATGTATGAAGTAAAAATGACTCAAGTCACTTCCAATTCATTACATACATGTCAACTGAAGTGCTTGTTCCAGAGGTTTCTCCATGCTAGGAAAGTCGCTTGGAGAGTAGTAGCATGTAAAAGTAGATGATCTAAGGCCTGAAAGTAAAGTCGTACTGTAGTACGATTTTCCCAAGGTTTTTTTAAAACCTGCAACAATACTGTCTTCCAATAACCATAATTCATTTCACCTTTACATCCAGGGATTATAAATTTGACAGTAAAACATTTTAAGTAAGTACCCAACTCGATTAAATTCCATTTAAAAACTGTGGTTCAAACATGTGTAATACGTTACTACCTATTATATAACCCCAAAGCAAACTGGTTTCTGATGGAAGTACTAGGCTGAAAAAATATGACTGACCAGTGAAATTTGACTGTTATTCTGAGCTGTATGAGGAAGTGCAAACTTTCTGATTGGAGAATACAGATCTAGTTTAATATCCATTACACGAGTAGAGAAAAGTATTCACAACATATTTTCACATAGATCGTGAAAACTTTACCATACATCTTTATTCACCTTTTCTCTCTAACCTGTGATTTCTTACGACAGCTGATATTATTTTCATTCCTTGACTCCCCAGCTGAATCTCCTGATATGAACATGGTAACCAGAAATGATAAGACATTAGGCGACGTCCTCTGTTACTGATATGTACCTGACATAAAAACAGGGCACAAGTGGATTAACACTGATTCTTTTCTTTAGTATAGGCTAAATTTCTTTCGGTTAGCCATTACTCCGAAAAATATTACCGAATGACGTAATGGCTGACTGACTGATTAGATCAACGTAGAATCTCGCATACACGTGCATCGGTTCAAATTGCCACACTTCATAGTAGTACACAAAGAACAGCCGGATAGAAAAGGAGTAATATCAACGCAGACCAAATTGTATGGCAGAATAGCCAATCTGAAGATAAAGGTTAATTTGAATATTCAAGCTTTAGATGTCAAGGAGTATATACATCTGTGCCATAGTGACCAGTTTTCAGCTGTGTCACCACGAGTCCTCAACCACTGATTCTTTTCGTCTCGAGGAACCCAAACCAAGTAGCCGATATCTCCCCATACGGCTCAGACTGACAGTAAGAGACTTTATGAACTGGTGACAGGTTTTGGTCTAATCAACCTGAACCCACTTTCAACCCAATCCAACTTCTCCCACCACCATGGCACGTTGAGGTAGGCAGTGACTTGGGTGCACAGTACATCTCCAAGCAACTTCAATCGACTAAGGTTCCCAAATTCATCAATCAACTTGCCTGTCTTGTCAATGATGAGATGAAAATTTGAACCGCGGCCGGATTCGAACCAGGGACCACCGGGTTACCGACCCGATGCTCTACCAACTGACCTACGACGTCCGACTACTGGCTGACCAAAATTTTATTTCACTTCAGTCACCGAAGGTTTCGCCTGATCAACATGTGAATTCGTGACGCGTTACTATCGCTTAATCGTATTCACACTGGCTGCCTAGTCACGACTTCTTATCCCAATCCAAATCTAACTGAATCAGAGAGGAGGAGAATCATATTGATTATCATTTGATTATCTGAGATAGCAGCTGTAGTTTGGCAGACTAGTATTTATACTGTTGATTGAAGTGGAATAAAATTCTGTTCATCCAGTAGTTGGACCTCGTAGCTCAGTTGGTAGAGCACCAGGCCCGTAACCCGGGTGGTCGTTGGCTCGGATCCTTACCTTCAATCATCACCCAGCATAATTATTTTGTTTGAAAACTAAGTTCAGAACAGGTCGACTGCATTAAACTTGTGAATATACCCTTCGAAAATTGGTTGGCATTAATAGATTATTTCTGCTACATACTCAGCTTAAAATGCTTTGCTGTTTGTAGTCACGAAAAAAAGTGATTTTATTACAGTCATGAAAAATACCTAACTTTCATCTCTCACAAAATTTTAATCAAGATGAAAGTTAGTTTACTTTTAGGAATGCTTACGTATGGGAAAATTAAACTTGAAGAACGATACCACTTTCAGAATATTAGGTAAGAAGTATGTAATGTATAAAAACAGAAATAACAGTATTATGTTCTACAATAGTCAGTGACTCACTTTTGTGCAACAGGTAAACGACAGTATTCAGAATGTTGTGATGATAATGACAAATGACTAGTAGTAGTATAAGTGGAACAAGTGAGATTAGAACTTTGAGACTGATTGACAATTGGCTGTTTTAGATCATCGAAAAGTGTAACACCGAACCTTCTCCAATATAGGCGAGAATCATCTAAAGCATCACAAGATGGATAAGTGACAGCTTCAGTGGACTGCGTGGTGCTGTCATGTGATAAGGGTTTAAGTGCTAAATTTTGACTAGTTGGTAAACTGCTTGAGTAGATATCAAGTGATGTAGACGACCGGCATGATGAAGGAAGAATTGAAGGAACTAATTCCAAAGTTGGTACTGAACAATTACTAGAAAACTTTCCAGCATAATCATGTTCTGTGTAAAAAGCAAGTTATAAGAGAGAATTAATATACATCTAATATAGTATATATCACAATACATATTAATCGTTAGCTAGTTGTGACAAAAGAGATGAACATTGGTCAGGTACTTCAGTAGTCGGAAGAGAAGAATGATAACATGTGACTACGAATGGAATCGTCAAGATAAATGATACTTACTTTAACTCAACAGGTGTCTGTACAAGAGAGCAGATCTGCAAAAGTTACGTGATGTTGAATAAAATTCATTAGTAGTCGTTTGTCAACTGCTTAGAATACTATTTACTGCTCACTCGATAGTTACTTCAGAACAATGTATTTACCTGGTCACAAATCTTTTCGTCTCTTAGTTAATAAGTTTTAATTCACTGTCTACAAAGATTTAACACTAGATTCCTATATAATCACGTGGAGATGTGGTTCATTGGTTTAGGGAGATAACTTTCAACTGATAGGTCATGGATACGAGCCCGCCTCCAGTAACCGAAGTTTAGGGAGCCAGATAGTATCACTACCCTTTATATAACAGATATGGCTTTGTCTACTGTATGATTGTGCACCAGGTTGCTCAGTGTATCTTGATTCCAATCCTTACTACACTGAAATAAAATGCTTAGCATTGATTATCGTATTATCCTAAATGCAACATATGAAGTAAATACTTAAACAAACTAAATTGAATGAAGTAACAAAAATACAGTTTTGTAAATCGACTCCTTGTGTATTCAACTTTATTCAAAAAAATAGAAAACGTTTTATATTTAGTTGGTTGTGACTAGCAGAGGAATACAGGACGCGTGTTTCCTCCTATTTGGGACTCGTCAGTTGGATATGCCTGCAAGCCAGTGAGTGATGTTGTTCCCACTGAGACTCCAACCTCGTACCCATCGCTTCAAATGCCAAGACGTTATCCACTATGCCACGGAGGAATGTTAGCCACTTCTTGTACAACGGGTATTAGTTATAACTATTTGTTGATATACTTGTAATTCTCCGTTGTTTCACTGGATCGAATTGCTCTACTTATATTGGCATATGGGCTCCTATGCAGATGCCTCGATATTGCATGAATGTCAATTGTGTCAATTTAGTTGGTTGTTCCCAAACAGGAAGAAACGCGCGCCCTGGATTCCTCTGCTAGCCATAACCAACTAAATTACTAGAAGAGGTTTTAATTATATAATCTTTTCACTTCCGAAAAGTTTCATTGAATACATGATTCTTATTTGTAAATCTTTCAGAAAAACATTACCTTCAATAATCAATTACTGGGTTGACAATAAAAATGAATATTTAGTCTTTGAGTAAAAAGTTTCCCGATTTATATCACTTTTCTGACCCACTGAGATCACACACACACACACACACACACACACACACACGAACGTCATTAGTCTGCCAAACATACATTACATAACTGTATATGCCATGAGCGGCACACTCTCAGATCATTCAACTACGCTCACCATTAATGGTTCCATGATTCTTCAAATGATATATTCGTTCTCACTATGCACTGTAATCACGATATGATGAACATACTACCCTATACTGTGCTCCACAATGATTTATGTCAACAGCTAATATGATTATGCATTAAACTGATTGAAGACATTAGGTGTAGTGCTTCAAATAACATTGAGTTGACAGCTTTTCGTTGGATCAAGTAGTGTTATAGGTCATAAATGATGTCGTCAGAAGCATTCCCAGTTCTTGACATCTCACAAAAACAAAGACTGACCTAGATAATCCAAGCCTACTAGGATTTCGCATTCAAACTTATATGGAATGATGTATCACTTTAAAAGAATAGCATGTGAAAATGCAAGCTACTTGAAAACATAGTCCTTGGGGAAGTAAGATTTGAAAGCAATAACTTGTTTAGCCAACACTACCAATTTTAGTTCAGAGTATTTCGTATTCTCTCCTAAAGGATGACGTATTCTTGTTAACTTGTTCTACCTTTATATCTTTGACCCTACGTACTACTATCGCAGATACAGCTATGCTCCATTTCTGAAGACGTTTTTGTTACAGTAATTTGCACCACATACAGTATCTTAATTCCTATTGTTATAAATTTCATCACATTTCGACAACTAGACATTAATTCAGGATTTGTGGAGATTTAGTGATTTCCCAAGTTGCTATTCATCATGGACTGACATCAGTTGGAAAGACATTGGAAACCTGGGAGTCCTGAACAGTCGTTCCATTCTAGTATAAGATTCCTCAACAGTGTGCACACATAACCTCTCTTCATCAGGGGTCGACCCCAGGACCTTCAGGTTCCATGGTCAATACGTTGACATCGAGTCAGTGGGTCGGAATCCAATTGTTCATATTTCCAACTTCTGTCAGTTCACGATATAGCGCGACCACTACCCAATGTCATCGTTGAGTATCTGTCATCACAGCCACCCGGTTTTCCACACCGGTCACGACTTTTCATTAGGACTTAAGGAATCACTTCTCGACGCTAGTCATCAATGAGCATTAGATCAATTTAATTCGGGAGTTTGTGGGGATTTAGTGATTTCCCAAGTTGCTATTCATCATGGACTGACATCAATTGGAGGGACATTGGAAACCTGGGAGCACTGAACAGCCACTTCGTCCTAGTATGAGACTCCTCACCAGTATGCACACATAACCTCTCCCTGCTAGGGGTCAAACCCGCGAACTTCAGGTTCCGTAACCAGCACCTTGCTATTGAGCCAGTCAGTCAGAATACAATGGTCCATATTTCCAACTTCTGTCAGTTCACTACATAGATATCACGCTTGAAGATAATTTGTTGCAACTGATAATCATGTTACTATCCCGCTTTCATATGCTACTTTATAGACTTGATACAAACTGACATGTATGTACAGTATTTCAGCTAACTGGTCCTACCAAAGTTTGCGAGAATCAAAGTTCATTTTGCTCATATTTGCTTGTTCAGTTGAAATTGATCGCTAAAAGCAAATTTTCAACAAATTTCATAATTAAAGTGAACTAAAATAAGAAACACAAAGTAATATTTCGACACCATGGCTATACGTGGTGACTTTTTCACTTGACAACTTGCCTAAATGTTAATATGCACTGCATAAATATATCACTAAAAAAGCATACTGTTGAAACCAAGTTAGTTAGTTAAACCCAACTGATGCGAAACACAAATTCGAAACTTAAATTAGAACATTAATCTTACCCGCTTTCCTAGATATTCTTGCATTCAAACGTCTGCATTCATATAACTTTAAGCGACAATCAGCTACTGTTTCAAATTCAGGAGCATAACACACATGTAATGAACCTCCATAGAAAGAAGAATCATCTGCTGAACGCTTGGCAAATCTAAACAGGATTTTAAGGAAAAACCTCAGACAATTTTAATAATAAAAATAGGTTAGTTATTAAGCTGGATTTTCACCAATGTATATATAAAAAGAATACATTCACACCTTGCAGATCGAAGATTGTTATATTTGACCAGAAAAACATCTGTGAAAATTTCCTTATCTGGATAATCAACAATTTTCACCAAACTTTCAACATTTCCATATTGTTTAAATCTCTCCTTTAAAGGTTGTTCTAAACCCAATGATGGCACTCCAAATATCAACAGATAGTAAGATTCATCAGCTACAGTAAAAACCTGAGCAATAAAAAAAAATAATCAGATGGATTACCTTTACAGCTGTTTTTCGTCTGCCATCACGATATGCAGGACGAGTAAAACATGGACCTATTTTATCATGATGAGGGAAATGTTTAAGCTTGTTTCCGAAGTTCATAAGCCTAAAATTTAAAAAATGTGAGGACGACTTCTGAACATCGGTTAATGACGGTTATTGTGGTTGAAATGCTTAATTAATCCTACAAGAAATTTAAAAAAAGCAGATGACACCTTTTACAGACAGTGTATACATTTAAATAAGTAAAAAACGGTTTGTAATTTAAAAAGGAACCAGTTATTATCATTCTGAACTGAAGAATAACATCCTTGCTATTTTTAAAATTTCGATTAGGTTGAATGAATTTACACTAACTTTCTGAGTGATGTCACAAAACTCTTCTCCCAATCATCAAACCAGTTCACTAATGAAACATGCAACTTGTGACTTATTTCACGTATTCCTCATTGTTTCACGTTGCCTCAAAATAAAAGGCTGTATGGTCACGAATCAAACCAACTTTGAAAGTTAACGCTTCTACCCTGACTGATGCCCAAACTAGGATGAGTATTTGAAAACATATGAGGCATTAAGTGGATATAGTCACCAAACTACTAAACCAAAGATCCACGCTGTTAACCGTAACTAAAAAATGAACACTATTATTATTATTACCATCAGTATCATTATTTATCCCCTGGATTCCTAGTGGAACATAGGGATTCAGTAGCACGTCGTCATTCCACTCTCTTCTCTTCAGTCTTTCTAGACTGGCTCCATCACTACCCATAACCTTTCATTTCTTCCTCACATTATCTCCTCCATGTCACCCTCATGCAGACACCCGACTCATCGTTTCCCCTTTGCATTCCACTCGAGGGCCTGCAATGTGATGTCCTCAATCGGTCTTCTCAGTCCATGTCCAGTCCAATCCATTTTCATTTCCTTCTACATATTTGTTGGGCGATAGATTCTTGGTTGGTTCGCTGCCACGCCACAGTTACTCTTCGCTTATTCTTATTATTCTCGCCATCTGATCTCCATCCTCAGTATCAAGTAAGCGTAGGCAACAACTGTTCATGTATGTCTGTAGTTTGTTGGAAACACTTTTCATAATGCGCCAAGTCTCTCAACCATCACACAGAAGCACTGACTTACTTGACTGAATTAGTATTGAAAATCACGATGTTGTTCACGATTTGTGCTGAGTGTAGTGCAGTGCAGTAGATCTCAACACTGATTGATTTCAGATTAATGAAGGCCTGTCTTGAAGTCTTTCCGATCCTGGCTTTGACATCCTCATCTGTGCCGCTGCCTGTAGTTTATACGATGCCCTAACTAGGTAGGTAGGTGAAAAAGACTACTTCCTTAAGATTTCTCCCGTTCATGGTGCTTGTTGTTGTTGTTTTTGTTGCTGGCTGGGCATTTTCATCACCTCTATCTTCTCTATGTTCACTTGAAGTCCTGTCTTCGTTACCCTGCTCGCCTCTTCTGCTAACTTATCAGTTCTCGTCTGTTAATCTTCGAGTTTGTGCAACACTAGACATAAATCATCATCAGCAAAATGCAAATCTTCTTCTAGGGTCTTTGCATCGGTCAAATAGCGTATGTCCATCTTCTCGCTTCTCACACTTTGTTGCACGATCCAGTCCAGTCCAGTTGACCACAATCAGAAAGATCATTTGTGATGACAGTAGGCGGCAACCATGTCTTACTCCTGTCCCATGTCTTCACTTCGAAGGCATCACCGAGCTTTCCATTGTGAATCAACTGGCGTGTAGCATCATATATCATATAGCTACCGTTGAATGAGGTTGATAAAGGTTTGTGGCACTAAAGCCGTAGTGTTGAAGCAGTCCCCAAATTAATTCCCGGTAGACGCTGTCGAAGGTCTTTTCAAAATCGATGAAGTTGAGACAGAAAGTTGACTGCCATTCTACACTCTGTTCTATGATGATGAGTAGCGTTGCAATTTGATCCCTAGAAGATTTGTTTTCTTGAAGCCAGCCAGTCAGCCTATTCCGGTCGTATTTTGAGTCCAACGCACGTTTTAGTCTTTCCAGACGATGTGGCTTGGTATTTTGCTTGCTTCGGGTGGGTAGAAGCACGATTCCGCGCCAGTTCTTGCACAGACTTGTGTCTCCCTTCTTTGGGAGTTCGACGAGGTTGCCCTACTTCCAATTGGCAGGTACCTTTCCTTCCTTCCAAACCTTCTGTAATAGTGGTGTGAGCATGTCCGCTAATGTCTCTGCGTGTTTTCAGTGCTTCTGGAGGAATTCCATCTGGTCCAGCTGCTTTCCTAGCTTTCAGCAACGTTCAGGACTTCTGCTTTTGTCGGGGGATTTGTGTTCGCTGACAGTTCTGCAGCTGCTGGTGGTATTTCTGGAAGAGTTGCAGGACGACTGTTAAATTTACCAGCTCAGATACTACCAAGGAACTTTATTAAATACCCCATGAATAGATAGGCGGTTAAATTCATTTTCTGGGGGGAAGATTGAAATACTACTAAACGGAAGGCACTCAGCCACCCTGTGCACAATTGTGTCGTAGGCAATAAGCCATGTCTACTGTGTGAGGGCTAGTGATACTACCTGGCTGCCCGAACCTTGGTGGGTGGAGTGGAGTTCGAACCCGTGAATACCACAGACACTAAGAGTTGTTCTAAGTAAAATAATGATGCATTATGAAGGTATTCAGGGTCAAAGAAATAAGGGTTGAAATAAACGTTCAATAACAGAGAGGCGTTAAATGAGATATATATAATCAAGTATTATACTTACTATCTTACGGCTAACGCAGAACGCAAAGTTGAGTCATGTTAAGATTACTACTGGTTTTGAATTCAAGTCACTTTTCATAACGTATTAATAAAATACTGATACAAAAATCCTTAGCATCTACCAACCAGGTAAGCATAGTATCAAACAATGCTAGGCCATGACAACAGTAACTAAAACCACGATCTTACTTAATAGAGTGATCGTGCACTCCATTTCACAAAAAGAATCTTATGAACAGAAAATAAGTTCAGCATGCAGCACCTAAAATGGAATTCGCGAAATGTATTGAGGCTGCTGAACCCATGATATCAACATGGAAATTCAAATTATAATTTTTATTATGCTAAAAATAAACACTACGAACTTCATTATCTCAATTTTGGTGTAACTAAATGCAAACAATCCATCCTGTCGATAAACAGTTTCTGAACAGTCGCCAAACTATTTAAGGTGAAATGGACTAGTTTCTGTTGAACAGACAATGAGCTAAACCACAACCCTGGACGGATGTATAGTGTCTCTGAGACACGTATACAGGACCCGAGTCCGGTTATTAAATTGACCTCACCCGCTCATAGTAGAGAATCTTCAAAATCCACCATAAGTATCCAAAACTACAAAGGCTAGCTCTCGTGGACTCGATGATGTAGGTATAGCAATGAGTTTAGGAGTAGAAAGCGCTCTCTTAGACTGATTTCCAGTAAACAGCCGTCTATGTGCTGTTCACTGAATGGATCTGTAAGAACTAGAAAGGGTCGTGAGACCAATCGATGACCATTCGTAATCTCCGCCTACTGTAGTTCGGATGAGGCAAACGATGAATTCTATGAGCTGTCAATTTTGTCAAAGAAAGCAAAACGTTCAGATGTAGTCATAATTGCAGGTAACTTTAACGCTCAAATATGGAAACTGAGTCAATCGCAAAAGCATCCTGGGGGTATTAACGGAATCCCATGCCAACGAACCGACAACAGTGATTGTCTGTTGCACTTTTGTTCCGACAATCACTTGTTTCTGGTCAGTACTAACTTTAAGTATAATGAGAGTCTCACATAGCGTCCGCCGACATGAAATCAACGATGGACACAGATAAATCACATTGTTATAAGCTATCGTTGGAGATCAGTGGAGGATTACCGCCCATTCTGAAATATCAGTTTGGAATTCGATTATACGCTAGTACATGCTCGAGAATGTCTGCGCCTTACTGGTCACAGAAAACAGGAGGCAGTGAGGCTCATCTGTGCTCGATCGGTAGATGAGGACGACAAGTACGCATTTAAACAAGAGTTAACTAAGCATTAAGCTGAGCACAACAGCAATTCTCATCCTGAGGAAACCTGGCCTTATGTTAAGTTGTTATATAAACAACGGCAAAGACATTTGATAACCTACACCCTACGGTTAGCAAACGTCATTGGATTTGCACGACGTTATCCGAACTGATGATGCGAGAAGACTGATGAGGTGATAAGAACGAATAATTAATATGACCCAGTTTGAATTCACACAATAAAAAATAGGTCAAGCCTATAAACTATGTGAAAAGTAATGGCATCACATCTCAATTTATTTAGGTCGTATTAATTCACCCATTATTTGGTTAGTCAGTTGGTAACTTGTATGCATTTAGTCACTTGAGAGTTTCACATACACGGAATGATTCAAGTCCTAACAATTACTTTCCAAGGACTAGCAGAAACTTCGTATGTTTTGATTCGAAACAACCCTCCCCTAACAATGATATTATGATCAGTTGCTGATTGAATCTAATCTGACTAGTGTTTTGAAGAGAACTCAAAAGAAGAGTGTGAGTAGGTTTATGGCAGCTCGCTTAACTATTACGACATTCTTAAGCATATGAGCAAAGAAAGAAATTCGTAAATACCACCTTGAAATAAGTAAAATTCCCATAGACCGCAAACAACCTTACTGTATAGTGCTCATTTGTGACATGCTTAGAGATGGATATCCTGGATTTCTGACGAGAGGTCATGACTTGTGGGATAAACCAGTTGGAAGTGGAGTGGATACCAACTGAAGACCTCGGTGGATAGTTGCACTACACTATGAAATGAACGAGGTAAGAAACTGAGGACCATTGAGCTCTAACCCAGTGGCTGGGTGGCTAATGTATCCACCTTGAGACCTGAAGGTCCTCACTTTCATCCCTGGCTGGATATCGGATGCGTACTTCTGAGGAGTCTCCTCCTAGGATGGAAGTTTCTATTAATTCTCCAAATGACGTTAGTTTTTGATGAATACTAACGTGAAACAGAACCCCTATAAACCTCAAACCACAGAAATAAATATAAGCAACCACAATGATGGTAATCATGTCCAGTGTTAAAAGTCAGTAAAATTTACTGACATACAACAAGAAAATACGATCGGGAAAGTAGTACTGAGAACTGAGTAGGAAAAACCTTGACAGAGTTACACATTTGTAACGACTAGCTGTTGTGGATTTTTGTCTAGTCTGTAGGGAAGCTGTTGTAGTGGGGTGTATAGAAGAGTGTTTTTTAGGTTACCGCGAGAATATGGAGAAAAAATAGAGAAAGAAAGTGAACCAGCAACTCTGGAGGCACAAACGATATACTTACACTCATTAATAAAAGACAAGAGACAAAGAGCAATAGTTCACTAGAAGACAAAGTAGTCTGGGAGGTAGGTTGGTAAAGTTGAAATGACTAACAGAGCCTATGGTAGCAACATCTTTATAACACCCGGTTCCAACATTCAACGGCAATAGTGCGAGTACAGAGAGCTGATAGTTTTTATCTTCTTCGTCCAATTCTAAAGCCTGGTTCATTTTGTTCGGTTCCGTCATGTAGTAGACGATGAAATCTATTCTACCTTCTAATTTTTAGCTCTGGTGAGTTGAGTACTTCCTTTGTATTTGTATTCCAATGTCTAATGTCTTTTCACGAGCTTATGTACACCAAATCACCGCTCCACACCCGATACTAGGTCTTACGCAGCACTACGTGGTGCTTGACGAATTCCGATGCAGTAGGTCTACCCACCTACCAGCGGCAGTTTTGGTATACCCGGCGTCTGTTGGGTGTTAATTAAATTTGTAGGGGTTATATGATTTGCCAATGGGTTCGTCAAATGCCGTTCTGCCATGCAGTTATTCGTACCGGTTGCGGAAGGAATGCAGAAGGGGTGAAAAGTGCCCAGCGAGAAGGTGAGAACAAATAAGATGAAAAGAATTGCGAAGAAAGGAAATGAAGAACTTATGTAGATCCAGAGGAAACGGGGGACAGAACAGTGATAATGAAAACATCAATGAACAGAATGAAGTCATGCAGTCAGAGTTATGAGAAGCATAAGATGAGATAAGAGTAGAGATAATGGGAACAGAAATAGTAATGCTATTATTGACAGTTTGCCAACTGAAAGTGAGAAGTGTAACAGGGAAGCATATTTAAGTGGAGCAAGAACAATAGCTTTAGCGAAACAGCGTGGATCTATTTTATTTCATGGTCCCTCATTAGCTGCTTACAATCCTAAACAACTTCAACACCAATTCATACGAAGTGTTGGCATCCTCGGATCAGCTTGACAGAGATAATATCGATGTGTAGTTAAAAGCATACCTACTCAGTGAATAAATACGCAGAGTTGAGTTCGCCAACGCGTAGAAAGATTCGACGAATATTCCAGACCAGAGGTTGAATAAAAAGTGGGACAAGTGTGTTAAACGTATTCAGAAAGCTTACAAAAATGTGTTAGAGGTCATAAAATTTGTGTAAGCTAGGATCTAGTGCGGGTAGGATCCAGGTAGCTAGGTTAAATGTGTGAATATAAGACAAGAAGCAAAAAACCAACCTCTTCGCGTCTAAAGTCGGCCGTAGAGGATAGTAAATAGGTGACCACCGAAAGTTCGGGAAATTCCGAGGTCGAGGAAGCGAAGATTACCATAGTGCTCACATTCCACAGTAAATTTTGTTTTGTGGTAATTTCTTCAGTAGAAAAGGCAGGTATGAGGCATGTTCCAGGTTATTAAAGACAGCGAATGTAACATCGACATACCTTCTACAGAAGAATGTCGCCACGATTGCACAATTCACATGAGCGCGTTTAAGAGCACCGGTAAAGAAGTAAGCTATTTTACGACCAACAGGATTCGCGATCCCAACTCGATAAAAATCATTAAGCAGAACGCTGCGGAAGTGAAAGCGAACATTCTAGATCCAGCGAGAAAAATCACCAAGAATACAGTGCTAACAAGTAAATCAGAATAAAGATAAAAACTTCCGCGGTTTGGCAGGAAAAGATCAGCATCCCTCTAAGAACGCAATAACACACATGCCACGGAGGGCAACTCAGACGCAAGAAAACTAATTTTTCGATAACCAAACATCGGAGAGGCCAGCAAAGTTCCCGAAAACCACACGACAAAATAACAAAAACCACCATGACCTAGGAGGTGTTGCCCCTGTCCGGAGGGATTTAGCAGCCAATCGTAAAAAAATACCACTGCAAAATCACTCCTAAACATCCTACCTCAGAGCAAAATATTCACTTCAATACATTTACCCTAGTTATGGACATTGTACCTTTGACCCTAACCGGTATGATGACATTTGGTTATTTGACTGTCCTCTTTGACTTTGAACTCATTATTTGTCCATGCATGTTTGAGACTTATCATGAATGCCTCACTTTCTTATTATGTGACGCCGGGCTGTTGACAACGTGATGTCGTCTTACTGAGCCCGAATTTTTGCTTTGGTTCAACTTACGGTTGTGCCGTGATTTGACTGCTTATCTTTTGACTGGCCACTGGAAACGCTTGTTTGTTTATTCGATTCTGGCAGACAGGGTTTCGATCCCCTTTGTCGGGAATATTCTTCTTGACTCTCAGTATGCACTTGTGCCTGGGAACGTTCGGACAGTATAGTTACCCAACGGCACTGTTGGATATCACAGATTTTGTTACGGATCTGCCACTGACTTAATACAAGCGTGTTTTCGATATCGTTGGTTCAACCATTGACTGCGCGTCACTCGCGGAAGTTCGGAAACTATGCAGTAAGACGCAGGAACTTGTCAGACTCGCGTTAGTGAGCACCACCTAGTTGTTTGCCGTGTTCACGCCAAAAATAATGGCTGTTGTGTGCAACTTTGCGTTGCTGTGTGCGAGACGTCACCAATGCACATCTACGAATAGCTTGTATTGAGTCCGCAAATCTGTGCTATTGGCGGGCAAGTCCAGTGGTCATGTTTGCGTAAGCCTACAGTCAGGGTGAACCAACCTTTTTCTAAAGATCGCGATCGCTCTGCCATCAACTGCTCGTAGATTGAGGGAACCGTTACGATTACGTTCGCTCACGGTTGCAGGAAGCGCGCCCGCTTTTGCACCAGTGTCGCGGGATGGGGAACTTTTGCGTCCACTTCGGCGACGCGTACCAAATGGAGTTTCCCGCCAGCGAGGCGGTTTCCCAATTTAGCCTGGCCTCCGTTGAAAGCGAACAACCTTCGAAAAGTTCTTTCTCCCTCATAGGAGGTGGTGTGAAATCAACACCATTCGTACTTTCTGACTGTGTGAAGTCTGGCCGTTGGGAAATCAGTTGAATTGCTGCTGCGGGATGAAGCGCGCTGTTGCTGCGTTGTATGTCGGAACCTCGGACTTTGATTGCTTGGGAGCCGCATAGCAGAGTGCCATAGCTCTATCGTCTCTGAATTCTGGCACTTAAGTTTTTCGTAAACAGAATATAAGTCGGGGATAAGCCCGGTGAAGGTCTCAAGTATTTTAGCACCTGAGGCTGCCAGGTCATCGATTGTAGAGCCACCACTGTAGTTTGCTCCGGTTGTCATAGTTTCAAGTAGAATAGTCCACAGAAGTCGTCCACGAAGTTTCGCTGGCCATTAATCCTTGGCATTCGTCTGAGCACTTGATTAGTTGAATCGTTCCTTAAGTGGAATCCATTCATCTAAGCGTAGATGGTCTGCGAGATGACTATTCTTCGGGACGGACAGTTTGAGCGGTGCAGAAAGGAAATCATGTCCTACGGCTGACTTCTCTGAGCAACAATCTAAGAGGGCATAATGAAAATGGTTTAGCGGAAGTAAAACACGTGGCACATCTGACATTGTGTTACATTTTAACGTGATTTCCGTCACCTGCCCTGAGTCAGGCTATATCTGTACAGCGACGTGTATTACTACCTGAACACCAGTAATACATACACGTCTTATAAGTGGGAAGCGAATTAGCATAGAATTCCTAGTAAAGTAAACGCTTAGAGACACGGCAGGGTGTGAAACAAATCCACAAACAAGTTATCGGAAGTAATGGAGCTCACCGCTCGAAAATATACAGTCTAGGTAGAAGTTCGAAAGGGAGAGCTTCAGCGTCAGTCTACAAGTGCGATGGGATAGATGCCCCACCCTGTAGTTTAGAAGCAGGAAAATTATTTTCTGCACATCGATCATCAGGGTCTCTAGCATCATCCCCGGACTGGATGTAAGACTCGAGGTAAACCAATATGAAATCGTTGGTACTTGGGTAACTTTCGATAATACTCAAAAGAAGCCTGCGAAATTCCCACTACTAGCTGTCTCATTTGGCCAAACTAACACCCTATCAGGTGACGGCTTCAAGAAGGCCAACAATTTATTAGATTCTGTCGCTACCGAGACATCAAGGCGATTAGCATCATCACAGCAAGCCATAGCGTACGACACACCCGACGACGTATATGTAGATGCTGCCAAACGTGTGATTTTACGACCTTGTGGTATGGCGAATGTTCCCTGAGATTGCAAACGTTTACGTAAAAGACATGGCAGCCACCCTATTATCTTCAAGTTTCTGATGCCGTCTGGTGCCCAAAAGTTAATCAGGCTGAAGAACAGCACTACCGCTAAATGTGATCTCCAAGGAATTGCCAATATGCAAGATATGAAAGGGAGCACTTCAGGAACGATTTAGTCCTGCCTTCTACAATTTTAGAAACACCTGAGTATATGGAAGGAAGACTTGACAGAAAAAGTGTGATAATCCGCCAGTTTCACGTGAGAAACGGCCGTTTGTAGACCCTGACGCGACTCTTCCGACAAACTTCGCAGAGCCTGAGAATCCTACTACCAGGACAAACTACCCGAGTCAAAGTATTTTGAGTAACCTGCCTAAGAATAAACTCAGGGTAGGAGGACCTTCAGGCAAAACCGAAGGATTTAAAATCAATACGAACTCTAAGTAAGGCCATTTTAGGCGTACTTTATCTAACAGTGGTGAGGAATGCTTCACTGCCAAAAGGGCTGCAATACAAATGCGCACTGCAAAGCAGCGTAAACCACTGTCTCTGAATAAAAAACTCTCAACCCGTATGCCTACTCATAACTCACATATTAACGGCGGATGTTATGCTACCACATGTGGCTCCGGCAAACGTATGAACCACAATACGCCATCATCCAGCACCAGAACAAATCCTGGGGGTTTTAGTCATCCCTACCACAACGTGAGACCGGAGTGCAACTAGCGTGATCGTGACCCTAGAACTAGGTTCATCACCGTACCCGCCGAATATGTTAACGTGCCCGGGTTTCACGAATTTTGGGTCACCAAACATAGTGTATGCCCATGGTATCCGGGGTCCGCTCGCAGTTCACTGATACACAATTGGAATTATCCAAACTGGTACCCATCGACAACAAACTGCAACATGTCACATCGGTGGGAACCAAAGAATTGTTGATCGGTGAGCTGTCCCACCCAACAGGTTTA